CTTAGGCAGAAGACAAATTGAGAAGGTAAATGCCAAAAGCAAATGTGTCACTTACCTCCGAACAGGCATAACTGTCATGAGTTTTTAAGAACGGTGGATATCCAGGCTGCTTCCTGTTATTCAGAGCAGAACCCTCCTTATAACTTCAGCTGTTTCTTCAGTTGGGTGGCTGATGACATTTCTGGGATGTCTTGAAATCTCTAGAGATTAAGGCTTTCAGAACTGGATGTATCTGACCATCTCGAAAATGTACCTGCCAGCTTGGTCTAATTAGAGAAGTTACTATTTCAATAAATAGCACAATTTTCTAAAAGAAATGGGATAAAATAGCTCAAGATTTTAAGACAGCTGTTAAATTCTATTGTCTTGTAGTCATCTTCATGTTATTAATTTATCCATTCAGCTCACTGCAACCTCCACCTGTAGCAAATATTTACTGAGCACGGGCTGTGTACCAGGCATTTTTCCAGGGTTGAATGCAGCAGTGAACCAATATAAAAACCGCTGTCCTTCAGTATCTTATATTCCAGAGTGTTATTAAGTGGTCTACATTTTTTTCTATTCCATAATTGTAGATCAAAAGAACAAATGATGGAACATGATAATAATAAAAATATAATTGTTTGGTTAATTTTAACAGGCATTATCAATGTGCCACACACTTTACATATATCTACTCCTTAATCTTTATAAGAAATTTATGTCTATGAAAATGACTAAGTTTTGATTCAGCCAAATGCAATTATTATTCTCATTTTAAAGATGAAGAAAAGAGAAATTTATGCCCCCTACCAATGAACAGATTTCCTTAATATTATATAGATAAATGTGTTGAAACTGGGATTGAAACCCAGGGCCCCCTGTGTCTAAGTTCACACTATTTGTCACCATGCTCTACTGGATCAGAAGGGTAGAACTTACAATTAAATATGTCCAGGAAATTTAGCAATTGTTAATATAATCACTCTAGATGTTAATAAAATATAGCCAGCTCCCACTGGTTTAATTTTATTGTCATCATCATCTTTGTATGCCAGTAGCATTTAGCCCTTGTAATGATGCCCAGGTGCCAAGATAAGCACTGGAGAAAGAGCTTCCTTTTGCAGTGAACCCAGTGAATCATTTGTCTTTCTCCTATGATCAGTAATTATTTAAAGTACCTGACTTCCAGTGGGTGTTGTGGGATTGACAGAGATGCTAGTTGTATTTTGTGCAGTTTTATTAACTTACTAACTCTGACTTTCCCCAAGGCACATCAATAAGATGAATCTATCTACAAAAGGTTCCCTGTGAGTCTTTTATACGGAGTATGCCTGATTCTTGCAAAAAGCTAAAGGGCCTTAGTTTCCTGCAGGAAATCTGTGACTAAATCCAGGACCTAGAGCGGAAACATTAAGGGTATCGTGGGAGAAAAGGAAAGCAAAGTGCTAAAGTTGTTACTCTGAACAGAGGATATTGGAGCATCCTGCAAAAAACTTCCTGTTTAGCCAGTAGACTAGAAAACAAAATGAAAAACACTTAACTTCAATGACTATTGTGTAAATATATTTTTATACTTTCATTATCTTGGGCAGGGCTAGCTCACAAGAACTCATGGTTTCCCAAGGTGGAGAGTTAGTCACTGAGTCACACCCAGCCTCCCATCTTCCTTGTTTTGACGGCCACACCAAGACCTTGTGTCATTTGTGTAGGCTATCCCTAGGCCTGTACCACATCCTACGCTGAACTTTCTTCCTGAAATGTACTTCCTTCAGCTTGTATTAAACAGCCTGTGGGACAGATTCAGAGAATGCACAGTAAATATTCTGCCTTCAAGTATCTTGCTTCCTCCAAAATCAGGCTATGGAAACCAGCGGCTCGGTAAAGAGCAAGAAACACTGATGAATCAATGAAACTAAGCTGTATTTATGCTTTTTATTCTGAAACACTTTCAAACTGTAGAATAAGATGAAATTAAAGAAGGAAAATTGGAGTTTTTAGGGAATGATAGAAAATGCAAATGATTAGAAAAAAAGAAAAATTGGAGTTTTGAATTCCTTTGTTATGACAATTTCAGATACTTGGTCAAACACATCCAAAATGGTGTTATAACATGTTAGACATTATAGTATGTGTTATGTGTGATGTTGTGACAGAGACTGACTCTGAATAAAGACCTTCTCAGTTGTTTTTAAACTTATCTGACTGGATTGTTTTGTATGGAATAAGTAGAAACGGTTTAAATGGAAAAGAATGGAAAGCTAGTCCCTTTTTCTGTATGTTAGCTATTGAGATTTACCAGTGCATCTGTATTATAGTTGTGTGAGGGCTGTTTAGCCATCTTCCTCCTAAGATCTTCTTAATCTTTCTTTTCTCCTTCCTCTCCACCCTCCAAATCAAGTTGACCTCATAATTATTATTTTTTCTTGCATCGTCAATTCTGAAATTTCCCAATTAAAAACACTAGCAACAAATACATAAAGACAGAGAAGCACCTTCCATATAAATCAGTAAAAATGAAAAAGCTTAATTAGTGTCATAATGTGGTTTGCCTCTGTGTCCTCACTTAAATCTCATCTTGAATTGTAATACCCACAATCCCTATGTGTCAAGGGAGGGACCTGGTGGGAGATGATTGGATCATGGGGGCGGTTCCCCCATGCTGTTCTTAAACACTCATGATAGTGAGTGAGTTCTCACGAGATTTGATGGTTTTACAAGTGTTTGACAGTTCCTCCTTCACACACACTCCTTTCTCTTACCTGCCTCCTTAAGATGTGCCTGCTTTCCCTTCCAGCATGATTGTAAGTTTTCTTAGTCCTCCCCCAGTTACGTGAATCTGTGAGTCAATTAAACTTCTTTCCTTTATAGCAGTGTGAGAATGGTCTAATATGTGCTATGTCTGAAATTCTGTTTTCTCTTCTGTTCTTTCAGACACCATAGATTTGAATGTAAGCTAGCTTTAGAGACAGCACTCTGTTGGTACTACTTTTGTAAGATAGTATTTAATTGTTTGCTAAGACTCTGATTCTCTTCTACATATAGTTTTACATATTTTTTGTAGTTTTAAAGAATGCTGTGATGGGTTATAATAATAATAATAAAAATAACATCTACCAATTCTTGAGTTCCTTTCTCTGGTTGTTAATTTCGATAACCTCTTTATCACAATGACCTCCTTTATACCGCTTTCAATGACTGCACCTTGGGCCATGTTGACAATTCAAGTTGTTCCACCAGAGTACCTTCTCTAATTCTGATCATTTATCTTCTGGTTAATTTCTAACAAGAGCTCCCGTTACACCTGTTCTTTGGTCTTCTGTCTTGTGACCTCTGATCCTTCAAACATTTCTAAGTTCTCTCTATCAGCTCCCCCGGACTTCTTTTCTTGCTTAGCTTAGATTCACAAATCTCATTTCTTTACTCACTTCTTTTGCCAGTATCCTAGATACCTTTGCCCTGGTATCTAGGATACTGGCAAAGAAGATACCTTTGTCATTGTTTTGTTGTTTGACCTCATGTCCACAAGACTGAGTTGTTAGTATATGTATGGTTAATCCAAGCAAGTTTCCTTTAATCACATTTCTATTATTTAATTATTTTCTCCATCCTCCTTCATCCCTGATCCATTAACTCTTCTTGGCATGGCACCTATGGACAATATCACCTCAATCCAATTTCCACAGTTGCATTTTGACTTGAATATATCTAACCACCTATTAGATTAGAACCATTTCTTTTGTTGTTTTCTCTACCTGAAACATTCTGCCTTCAGATTCCCAGAGAGTTTTCTCCTTTAGTTAAGTGTCATCTCATTAGCAAGCCTTCTCTGAACACCGTATTTAAAATTGTAGCACATCTTATGATAACTTTTGAGGGCAAGCATCTGTCCATGTACATGTTACCTCATCGGATTTTCTACTGTGGAAAGTGTCTGTTCAAACCTTTTGTCTACTGAATTTTAAAATAATTTTTTACTGCTGATTTCTAAAAACAATCTATATAGTAATTCCTTCTAGTTTTAGATATTGCAAACTTCTCTAAACTCTGCGAATGCTCTTCTTCACTCAACAAAAATCATTTATTCTGATGTAGCTGTATCTATCTATAAAAAGTCAAATTAGATTGCATAAATCCCCTAAGGAAAATCTATTAATGACTCTTAAGACAAACATGAAACTTCTTAATATGTTAAATCCTCCAAAGACTACCCTTAGCTCATCTCCTCCTACTCTCCCTCTTGTTCTTTGCTTTTTTGCTGTAGTCTGACTGTATCATTTACCTTCTGAACTAGGATGCTTTTGAGATAAAGAGGGGCACTATTAATTATTATGCCACAATAGTTAGTAAAAACAGTAACTGTCTGGGTAACCTGGGACTTCTGTTCACCCTACCTACCTACCCTGGGACTTCTGGTTTTTCGGAACTTGACACATAATTGGGGGGCCCTTGTCCCATGTGTTTTTCTCTGTCTTCAATGCTCCTTCCTGCTCACTCCACTTGCACTGGATAGCTTCCTTACACCCCCATTTTTTAGGTATCAGAGCCATGCCAATTCTCAGAGGCCTTCTCTGGCCACAACTACATACCCTTAAACACTTTATTCCTCTTTCTTTTATAATACACATTACACTTTTAAAAATAATATTTCCTGCCCAATTTGTTTTCTTTGTTCACTTATCTGTCCAACTTCAGGAGAGTAAGGACTTATTGACCTTGATCACTGCTGCATCTCCTGGGACAGGTAGATGCCTAGAACAGATTTAGTATTCAATCCAAACTTGTTCAATGATACAAGCTTAAAGTTATCTTCACAGCACCTCTAATGAAGTGGATATTTTTAGATAAAGAACTGAGGTACATAAAGGTTGTCTAAAATCACTTTCTAGCTAGTAAATGGGAGGGATAATATTAAAAACAGTGTATGAATTTGATTTTTATTCTCAACCACTGTACATATTTCCTCTACAAGTAAATCCTTTATTAGTGGTCTTTTATAAAATATACCTAAGGCACTCTTGTTTACTGAACTTTGGACTACAAATCTCAACAGTTTTGCTTAAAAAATTAATTTGAAAATATAAACCTAAAAATACTTGGACTCTTTGATCCAGCAACTCCATTTCTGGAGTTCTATTTTACAAAAATAAAGATGAAATAAAAAACTGTATGCACAAAGATATGTGCTGAAAAAATTCACGTAAATAGAAATGAAAATAGCCTGAAAATGTAAGAGGAATGGAAGAGTTAATTAAAACATGACATGCTTATAAATAAAATACAGGTAACCATAAAAATAGGTAAATAAAGTATATAATTCTAGATATGCTTGAGGTACTAATGCATGCATACATATATAGCTACTTCCATGTTTTTCTATACAGAAACATACCAACAAACACACACACATGCATTCAGGACTGGCTAAATAGTTGTAGGGCTCTTTGCAAATAAAAATTTGAAATCTCTTTTCCAAAATTATTAAGAATTTCAAGATTGTGATAGGAGAGCATTAAACCAAGAATGAGATTCTTCTGAGTGTGTGGCCCTATCTGACTGCACAGTGTATACTCATAAAATCAGCTAGGGATGAATATTTTGATGACAAAATTACTGCAAAAAAATAGGTTCAGATATTTCTAGTAGCTACCTTTTGTGATAGCATTATAGATGATTATTATTTTCTTCCTACTACATTTCCATATTACCTAAAATTTTCTCCATGGCCATAGGTTGTTTAATAGTCAGAAACAGGTCTGGGTGTGGTGGCTCACCCATGTAATCACAGCACTTTGGGAGGTAGAGGCAGGCAGATCACTTGAGGTTAGGAGTTTGAGACCAGTCTGGCTAACATGGCAAAAACTTGTCTGGACTCAAAATACAAAAAAAATTAGCTGGGTGTGGTGGCACACGCCTGTAGTCCTGGCTACTCATGAGGCTGAAGCAGGAGGATCACTTGAGCCTAGGAGGTCAAGGCTGCAGTGAGCCGAGATCATGTCGTTCCCACTCCAGAGTAAGACTCTGTCTCAAAAAAAAAGAAGCAAAATTATTTTTTAAAGTACGATTTAAAAGAATCATGCAAAGCTATGATATATTCCCTAAAATTCAACTGTGAGGTTTCCTAGACATGAATATACTTTGCTGGTGAACACCCAAATATTTTATTTTGCAGATTTGGGCATTTTCTTTTTTTTTCTTTTTTTGAGATGGAGTCTTGCTCTGTTGCCCAGGCTGGAGTGCAGTGGCATAATCTCAGCTCACTGCAACCTTCACCTCCTGGGATCAAGCGATTTTCCTGTCTCAGTCTCCCGAGTAGCTGGGATTACAAGTGAATTTTTGTGTTCACTGTGTTGCCCAGGCTGGTCTTGAACTCCTGAGCTAAGGCAATCCACCTGACTTGGCCTCCCAAAGTGCTGGGATTATAGGCGTCAGCCTCTGCCTGGCCAGATTTGGGTATTTCTTCTATAGTTGCCTAGTAGCAAGAAAATTGGTAAAAATTGATTGAAGTTGATAAAGGTTGTCTTTATCGTCCTTCTGTCTTTCATTTTTTCTCCCCATGAAGGTCTCTCTCATCATTTCCTTTTACTGGTCTACTGACTTCCTGTTTTCTAATGTACCCTCCCCTTTATGAAAAGAGGAAAAGTAGTTATCATTTGTTAGAAGATTGCTATGTGTAGAGAACCATACTAAGTAAATTGTAATATCTCCTTTAGTCTTTTTAACAGTATCTACTTTTCAAGTAGATTGTGTTAGCCTAGTTTTATAGGAGAGGATGTAAAGGCATAGAGATTATGTAACTGTGGCTAAGGTCATAGTATTAGTAAGAGTCAGAGCTGGGATTAGAATTCAGGTGAGGTAGGTCAGTCTCTAAATATGGTCACCAACAATTTCTCCCATCTCTGTACATGCCTGCAGTGTCTTAGATTAAGAAGAGGGAAATATTTACACACCTCTTAAATCTAGAATACCTTTATAACTTGCTTTGAACAATAGAATAAAATAGAAATGACTCTCTGGGACTTTGGCATTTAGGCCTTAGGATAACTGGCAGCTTCTGCTTCTTAGGCCTTGGAACTTAGCCACTATGCTGTAAGGAAATCCAGGCTAGACTACTGAATGATTGGAGACCATATATAGAGAGGTTGAGAATAAGTAGGTCATAGTGTTATACGTATAAACCTCACAGCCTAGCGGGCTCTATAAATCAAAACCCACAAAGCATTGTAATGTGCATTGTACTAGAGGTAAGAAGCCAGATTAAAGTAAGTAGCCTTGTGTGTGGTGGGGTGGGAGGAGAGGGGTATGTGTAGAAGGTAATTTCCTGAAGTGGTGACAGCACCTGTCTCCCATCTTGAAGGGTGTGTAGGGATTCCCTAGGTAGAAAAAGGCATCCCAGGTTAAGAGAACAGCATTTGCAAAGTTATGGAAGTATAACAAAAAAAGACATGATTAGGGAATGGTGGGTTGATAGTACTTTCTATAGTTTCATTGATCCTTATACTTCTAAATTTTAACTGCTTTAAAGATATAAACTTTCTCATTGTAGCTTTCCATGCTGGTAGATGTGGAGGGTGGATGGGAGGAAGGGCTTCCTCCACTGATCAGTGGAGAAGGATTTTTTTTTTTTTAATTGAGACAGAGTCTCACTCTGTTGCCCATGCTGGAGTGCAGTGGCACAATCTTGGCTCACTGCAACTTCTGCCTCCCTGGTTCAAGCAATTCTCTTGCCTCAGCCTCCCAAGCAGCTGGGACTACAGGCATGCACACCCAACTAATTTTTCTATGTTTTAATAGAGATGGGGTTTCACCATGTTGGCCAGGCTGGTCTTGAACTCCTAACCTCGTGATCCACCCACTTTGGCCTCCCAAAGTACTGGGATTACAGGCATGAGCTACTGTGCTGGGCGGGGATTTGTTTTTAAACATTCATTCCTCTCAATTTATTTTTTATTGTGATATTTGAATGTATTATATTAGTTTCCCAGGGCAACTGTAACAAATGACCACAAATGTGGCTTAAAATGAAAGAAATCTATTCTCACAGTTCTGGAGGCCAGAAGTCTGAAATCAAGGTGTTGACAGGGCCACGCTTCCTCTAAAGGTGCTGGAGGAGGGTCCTTCCCTGCCTCTTCCAGCTGGTAGTTCCAGGTGGTTTTAGCTCGTGGCAGCATCACTTCTGTTTTTCTGTCTGTCTTCAATGCCCTCATTCTCTGTGTCTGTGTTTTCTCCTTTCCTTATAAGGACATTGTCATTGTACTTAGGACCACCCTAATCCAGGATGATCTCATCTTGAAATTCTTAATTACATCTGCCCTTTTCCCAAATATGGTCACCGTTCAGGTGCTAGGTGGACATATATTTTGGTGGGGATCACCAGTCAACCCATTACAGATAGCAACCAAAATTTCCCTTTGCTAATAGTTTATATTTAACAACAATTTTTTTAAAAAATCTTCATTTTATCACTTATAAATTTCAAAAAGTTTAAAACTATAACATATTTAATTCCAAATGTGACTTTGGCTGGGTCTCTCTCCTAAGCAGCCCTTTAATAGATTTTCTTAGGCAGAATGCTAAAGGTCTACATCAGAGGAGAACTGGCCCTGTGATTAGCTATGCTAAATTGAAACCTTATGAAATATAGTGTGGTTACATTAAATGGCAGTTAGAATGTGGTCTACATTATTACAAATAAATGTTTTTCATTATATTTTACTGTCAGCAAATGCTGGTGTAAAACTCATTGCCATTCCTCATATGGCTACCTTGAGGGGAGTCAGAAAACACATTGGCCTCTGAGATCATGTGAATTATTTTGAGAATTCCAAAGACTCCAAACTCACTTGGAAGAAGCATGATGGAAATTTCATGGGCTTTTAATTGAACTTTCATCTTTGCTTCCTTTGTCATTAAAGAATGACTATCCTGGAACTTGAGTTGTTGCTAGACCCCACTTATTAAAAAACAAACAAACAAAAAACCCTGAAGTTTTTATTGTTAAAGCCGCTTGGGAGGGGAAGAAACCTCACTCAGTATACTGAATGGTAAGATTTACTTGCCAAGGTAACATGCATGACTTTAGACAGGTTTCAGCTGCTTTTTCCTTGGAAGGAAGATAACTTTTAGGCTTGTGTAAGTGCTATTTCTTTCTTCTTCCAATTGCTACAACTGGAAACTGTAGTAATTGTAGGGTTTTCTTTAAAAAAGTCGGTCTACAGGAGGCAGTAGAGAGTCTATTCCATTAAAGTCTTCCCATGAGGATTGAAGAGCTTCTAATTTCTTGATCATTCTAATCATCATCACCATCTGGAAAATTTCCTCATTAAACTAATAGTTGGTAATCATATTGTCCTGGCTTCTAAAATAAAACAAAACAAAAAGGCCTTCCAGACAATCCAAGTAGGCTATTTGTCCAACTGCTATATTTATCTGTGTTGATGTCATTTATACATTCCAAACACCCACTGACTTTAATGTACACCGAATCATGCCTTCAAGTAATTGGTCTCATCTACAAAGAATGAGCCTGAGCCATGATTCTGTGCTCCTCTGTTTCTCACATCACAGTCATAAGTTAGCCCAAAGATAAAAGCATATGAAGCTTTGGATGAGATCTCTCTTATCTTTGAAGGAGATAAGAATCATTAACTCCATTCAAAGGTGACATCAGAACCACGAAGGACGTTCTGAGACAGAGCAAATTACGTCATGCCATTTTCCCTAGATTTTCTAACTTTTCTCATGTTTAGTAATCAATTGTTCACTGACTCTAAATGTATGGGAGGTGAAACTTTTTTTACTGTCTTATATTCTGAGGCTGGGCTGCAAGTTAAACTGACAAAAGACAAATGAACAGAAGAAAATTGTACACACTGTATGTGATGTTAATATTCTTATGTGTGCAGGGTTTCATAGAAAAGAGGTGAAAAATCCCCAAAAAGCAGTTAAGCTTGAGGGTGTCAATACCATTTTAGCAAAGGTTGATAACTTGGGGAGAAGCAACTAGACAGAGGAAAGAGGGTTTGGGCTTCCTGGGTGGTGAATTGGTGGGAAGGTAAATTTATGAGGAAAAGCAATAATAAGAGTTATTTTCTGAAGTTTCCGTACACTGCACATCTTGGTGCTATTTCCATCTCCTAATAAAGGTTGTTTTCCTCTTTCTAATAGGGAGGGTGGGGAGACACCTTTGTTTATCCTAAAGCGACGGTTTCTCCATACACAGTGAACTGTAACCTACTCTTTTAACAAGTAGCCGAGTTTCAGCCAATCACAGCAGCTGAGTTTCAGCCAATCACAGGCAGCCAACTGTCCAAACCGCGTTTTTTTTTTTTTTTTTTTTTTTTTTTTGTTTGAGACGGAGTTTCGCTCTTGTTACCCAGGCTGGAGTGCAATGGCGCGATCTCGGCTCACCGCAACCTCCGCCTCCTGGGTTCAGGCAATTCTCCTGCCTCAGCCTCCCGAGCAGCTGGGATTACAGGCACGTGCCACCGTGCCCAACTAATTTTTTGTAATTTTAGTAGAGACGGGGTTTCACCATGTTGACCAGCATGGTCTCTATCTGTTGACCTCGTGATCCACCCGCCTCGGCTTCCCAAAGTGCTAGGATTACAGGCTTGAGCCACCGCGCCCGGCCCCAAACCGCGTTTACATAGGATGCTGAGCGGCAACCAATCCAGCTGTTTCTGTACGTCATTTCTACATTTTGCTCACTTTCCATTTCCTGTCTGTTAATATTATCTGACCACGTGGTAGCCTGAGAGTTGCTGAGAACCTGTTTTGCTTCTGTGAGGTGCCTGATTAATGAGCTTTAACTCTGTTAAATGTAGTTTGTCTAAACTTTTTCTTTCAATACTTTTGCAAGGGGAAATGTATGCCCTGCTTTAAGGCAGAGGTGGGAGGCAGAGCTCTTCTGTGTTTGCTTTTTCTCAATTGCCCCCAGCTCAAAATAATTCTTATGCCAAAGTAGCATATTTTTAGGTGGCGTATTCTGATCTCCTTCACTGGGAAGCAGTCCCTGCGTGTGAACCTAGCAAAGACTCTTTTCTTAGAAATCCTCTCTAATTTAAAACATAGTGGTTAAAATGCAGAAGCTGGTCTTTATGCATATTATCTAACTACTTGGCACACAAAGATTTGTCAAATAAAAGGCAGGTGATGAATGCATTGAGAAATGTTGTCAGACCTACCTAAAGTTTCACAGACTTAGAGAACATGTCTTTCTCCCTGACAACTGTTCAGAGCAGTTTGGCTGTTCGAAGTCCTGTCCTGACTTTCATCATTCAAAATCTGAGACTGATCCTGAGCCCTCACAGAAGACTGGCTTATTTAATTTAACAATTCGGAAAACTGTTGAGTTGAAGAAATGTATATAGAAGCTAGGTGGCGCTGGCTGCCACAGGCTGCACAAAATAAACCTCTGCATGTCAGAACATGCCCTGTGCCCAAAGGACACAGCTGTGAAACCTTTTTGAAGAGTTTAGTATCAGACACAGGGAGAATGATTTGAAACAAAAGAGAAATACAGAAATTCCACTGCATCACTTTCAGACTGTTCATTATCCATTCCTTCTGACTTAAACATGAAAGCTCATAAAGTGCAATTTTTATTTATCTATTTTCTAAATAAACTCCTCCTGGTCATTTGCTTTTCTAATATTCTGTTTGGTCTTTTTGGTTTTGCAATCACCACGGACTTGGAGCTCCACAGAAAAACCAGAGGTTCCAAAATAGCAATCGGAAGAGAACTTGGTTTCAATCCCTTTTCCATTAATGCCTATTTTCCACAACCACATAACCTGTGCATTTGGAATATTTTCCCAATAGCACTGGCTTTCATAAGCTGTAGTGACTGTTAGGAAATAAAACTGCTTTGGTGGAAAGACCAGAATTATAGCTGAGAACACAGGACTGTTAAACCAGCCTTCGAAGTCTTGCAGAATAGGAGAGAACAAAAGTGGGCTGTCAGTGAGGCAGGCTTAATAGAAATAGAACATTTATGAATTTCTAGTCACATCTTCTGGCCAGATAATCTTCTACAGAGTCACTTAGCTTATGTATAGGAGATAGTAATCTTACAAGGAGAAGCTGACCATGCTTAAGTCAGAATATAATAGTCTGACAAATTTTCTGCTTTGTGTATGCTTCTGGAACTTGTTTTATATATAGAAATATTATACCACATTTACATATTCATTTGATAAATTTCATTCAATGACCATAATACAAATGCATTAAAATGAAAAAAAATCATTAAGTACATACTTTTGGTTAATATTTCCAATTATCCTGAAAGATATGGTGTAAATGTATCTGTAATCCCTAGGGATTTATTGCACAAGAAAAAAGCAGAGAACATGTTCATTTTTTTTTTTGAGACATATTGGCTGGTAAAATGTTGATACTAATTAATTCTGAAGTGGAAACAGTCTTACAGGCTGGCAGACGGGTTATAAATTTGTTTTTTCCATTGGTCTTAGAATTGCTAGAATCTTTGTTTCAACACCAATAGCTCTGGTCCAGGTTAATATTTTTGCCTCTGCTCAATACCATGTTACATATCCTCTTTCCCACTGTCAAAGGAGCTTGTCGAAGATAGTTTCTTTACCTGAGAAAGTACACCATTCTCCTTTACTCCTTTTTCACCTTTTCTCCTCTTCTACCTGACCAGTGTACATATTTTTGTAAACTCTTGTTCCAACCTGTTAGCATGTTACTGATGGAGAACTTCATGGAAGAAGCATGGATTTGAGAATTTCAACTTATACTTCTGTTATAGGAATGGTCTTCCGCCTCACTTAGATAGAAATGATCACGATAAACTCAGAAGAGAAATAGGCTCAGAAATGGTGGACAGCATACTCATCTATCACTGGGCTTCTGGCCCTTGATGTAGTACTTGGAACTTAGTAAGTGCTCCTTGCTAAGCTTCTTGTTTGTGTCTGCTTCCACATTCCAAAGATGTGAGGATGTGAGTCTGAATAGAGTATGAGATAGTTTAACAAATATAAAACCAGTGGCATTGAGCAGCAACTACATACAAAACTGTATTAAAAACTGGGGAGTGCAAAAAACAATATAGTTGTCCATTTCCCTAAGAGGTTACCTATTAATATATAACTACATGTTTGTAAGAAGACATTAGAGCGTATTGCCTATGAACCATCTGCCTCAGCTTCTAGTTGTTTCCTCTGATTCAGCTAGCCAAATGCCACAAGAAACCACAAAGCCAATTTGTGTTCTTGGATAACTGCATGCAACACCCATTAGCTTTCTATGGGCAGGATTTGGCGCAGAGAACACATCTCTTGCCAGTGCTCAAAAGAAAGTCAGGATTAAATAAACCTATTTCTGTGTTCCTACAGGCATGCTTATGAATCCATGAAGCTACAGTCACGATGGCATACTTGGCAAGCTCAGGGCACTATTATGTTATCTTTTGAATTAATTTTAGTGACCTGTTATAAGTTGTGTTATAACACAAGTTTCCTTGTGTTTCAAAGGCTTTTTGTCCCTATTCCAATGTTGCAAATTTTCTTCTGTGACAATGATCATGTTAGCTTTTTGTTGTTTTAACGTGATTTTTTTGATATTGCATTATAGTTCCTTCCCCTTTTGCCATACATGCATTCATAGCTAAATTATGGAGTGACTGCGGTTTCTCTACCTTGGCATTATTTACCTTTGGGTCAGAATATTCCTTGTTGTGGGGGGCTATCTTGTGCATTGTGGGATATTTAGTAGCATCCCTGGCCCTTACCACTAGATGCCACTAGAATTTCCTGCCCCTAAAATGTCTCTAGAAGTTGCTGCATGTTGGGGTAGGGAAGGATTGCCACCTATTGAGGACAATTGATTTATACTAATGAAACTTTTCTGCATAAACCATTAAATACCATTACTCCATGGACATACGTTGGCTAATGATTTTTCTCTGTGGCATTTAGCAAAAAAAAAAAAAAAAAAAAAAAAAAAAAAAAATCTGTCTGGTGAAAATACCAGTGAAGAGGAACAGAAACAATTATAAATCTTTACAAATCATTCCTTGAGCAAGAAAATGCCTTGGGCTAGCCACTACCTTCTCCATTCACCCTGACCCCCACCCCAAATATAACAAGTTATTTTTAACCATCTAAGGCTGATGTTGCTGATGGAAAACAGCTGCGGTATTAGTCTGTTCTCACACTGCTAGGAAGAAATACCCAAGACTGGGTAATTTTTAAAGAAAAGAGGTTTAGTTGACTCAGTTCTGCATGGCTGTGGAGGCCTCAGGAAACTTACGACCATGGTGGAAGGCACCTCTTCATAGGGTGGCAGGGGAGAGAATGAGTGCAAGCAGGTGAAATGCCAGATGCTTTTAAAACCATTGGATCTCTTGAGGCTCTCTCATTATCACGAGAACAGCATGGGAGAAATTGCCCTCATGATCCAATTGCCTCCACCTGGTCCCACCCTTGACACATGGGGATTATTACAATTCAAGGTGAGATTTGCGTGGGGATAGAGCCAAACCATATCAGCTGCAGAGCTCTCCAGGTGGAGTGTTGTCTGAGTGAGCTTGCCACAGATTGGAGTGAGCCACCAAACTGGTAGGGGTATTTTCCTGATTAGAATTGCATTCTGCTATCTTTGAGTTTCTGCTGAGGTTGCTTGTCATTACCTTGGCAGGCAGATAGAAATTATGGGCCATGCTGTTGTAAATGCATTATTGTCTCTCTTATTTATAGCTGTGAGGTGGTGATACAGGTGGTAAGATAGTAACATTACAGATTTGATATGATTTAGATCTGGGTCTCTGCTCAAATCTCCTGTCAAATTGTAATCCCCAGAGTTAGAAGTGGGCCCTGGTCGGAGGTGACTGGATTATAGGGGTGGAATTCTCACGAATGGTTTAGCATCATCCCCTCTAGGTACTGCATAGTGCGTTCTCACGAGATCTGGTTGTTTAAAAGCATGTGGCACCTCCCCCAACCCTCTCTCTCTTGCTCCTGCTCTGGCCATGCAGAGTGTTGGTTTCCTCTTTGCCTCCAATCATGATTGTAAGTTTCCTGAGACCTCCGAAGAAACCAAGCAGATGGTGTCATTCTTCCAGTACAGCCTGCAGAATTGTGAGCCAATTAAACCTTTTTTCTTTATAAATTGCTCAGTCTAAAGTACATTTTTCTTGTCTTTCTCTCTCTCTCTCTCTCTCTCTCTTTCTTCTTTCTGTTTTCTGGCTGGCTGGCTCTGTCACCCAGGCTGGAGTACAGTGGTGAGATCTTGGCTTTTTGCAACCTTCACCTTCCAGGCTCAAGCCAATCTCCCACTTCAGCTTCTAGAGTAGCTGGAAACACAGGTGTGCACCACCACACCTAATTTCTGTATTTTTTTGTAGAGATGGGGTTTCACCATGTTGCCCAGGCTAGTCTCAAACTCCTGAGCTCAGGCCATCTACCTGATTCGGCCTCCCAAGCTGCTGGGATTACAGGCATGAACCACTGTGCCCAGCCTGGATATTTCTTGATAGCAGCATGAGAACAGACTAACACAGATTAAGAAGGAAGGTCAAGGCAGGTGCTAATAGTTAGATACATGTAAGTGCAGTCAAGCATCAGGAATAAAGCCCTACAAACTGCCCTCTGAGTTATTTAAAACCCTCAGAAATCTAAATTTAGCAGTTTTATAAATGATTGCTAAGAATTTGTCTCT